CTGGCCAAGCAGCGGCGCCTCTTGTCTTGTCGCCCGCACCTGCCCGTCCCGCCGCCACTACCACCTCCAGCCAGGTAGGAACGGTTAGCGCGCCAGGGCTGTGGGATGAGGACTGGGGTTCGAATCCCGGTTCCGACGTTGCCGCACTACGTGCCGTTGGGCAAGACTGACGTCACCTCGCCGGGCCTCAGTTTCCTTTTCTGGTGCAGTTTAGATTGGGACGGAGTCAGCGCTCCAGATTGCTCGCTGTTAGACAAAGGGGGTTCCCAGAGACCCCCACATCACATTCATTCATTAACATTTTATTAAGTGCCTACTACGTGCCGGTTTCTATATAGGCGGTGAATATAAATGTTGCGCTGACCTAATAGGTCAGCACTGTACAGAAGAAACATATGAAAGCCACAGGTTTAATTTGAAAATTTTCTAGTAGCCGACATTATATTTTTTAGTTTATTTCTCTTATGGAAGTGAGAGACAGGAAGACAGAATACCCTCAACTGCGTCTGTCACTGGGATCCAGGCCCCTCGCCTTCCCAGCCAATCAGAACCATGGATACAAGTTGCCGCATCTACTGGTCGACGGAGGATTCCGAACCTGCGACCTTCTATAGGGACCCAGCATCAGTTGATTAGTACCCTAACAGTGCGTATGCTAATCCAGTTGGCCCTATTAGGGTATGTTCCTTTTTTTTTTTTTTTTAAGAATTATTTAATTGTGGGACCAGCAGTTGGCATGATGACTATGTCGCTAGACTCCCATGTAGTCGACCACTGGTTCAAGTCCCAGACCCGGTGGCTTAAACTCACACCTGGTGCGTGTACATGCGTGCCCAAGAGCCCAAGAGGAGAATGGAGGAGAAGGGATTGCGGTGTGGCCATCTCCCCGTGATTTCTCACTTTCTGTCTCTGTGTCTCTCTCTTTCTGGCGAGCGCACGTGCCCTATTGCAGGAACTTCTCAAAAAAAAAAAAAAAAGAATTACTTGGGCTGGCAAATGGCATGGTGGTTAAGGGCGCTAGACTCCCACATGGCCGACCACGGTTTGAGTCCCGGACCTGGTGGCTTACTTTCTCCCTGTCTGTCCCTCTCTGGTCAAATTAAAATAAATACATAAAGTTAAATAAAATAATTCTTAAAAAAAAAAAAAGAATTATTTAACTGTATTTATTTTTTAATTTGCCATAGGACACATGCATTCACGGGGGCTAGAGGGAAGGAAAGGGGAGATTGGGAAAGCAAGCTGCCAGGTCCAGGACTCAAACCATGATTGAGCATGTGGGAGCCCAGCACCTTAACCACTATGCCACTTGCTGGCCCCTAGCATATTTTCTTTCTTTTTCCTTCTCCTCCATTCTCCTCTCGGGATCTTCGGCACGCACGCACACGCGCCTGGCATGAGTTTTAAGCCACCGGGTCCGGGACGCGAACCACGGTCGACTACGTGGGAGTCCAGCGACATAGCCATTACGCTAACTGCTGGTTCCCCTAGCATATTTTCTTGATCAGCGCCATCCAGTAGAAATTTATGGGAGAAATGAATTTGTCAACTAAGTATGTAATTTAAATTTATTACATCATTACTTTTTTTAGACAGTGAAAAGATCCAGATGTGTCTTTTTTTTATTATTTAATTTTTGCTATAGGGTGTATGCTCTTGCTGTAGAGAGACAGAGAGACAGAGAAAGGCAGGGAAAGTGAGAAATCACACACACACACACACCCCCGGGGGACAGCCATGCCACCATCCTTTCTCCATTCTCTTCTTGAGATTTTGGCATACACACATGTGCCCGGGGTTTTTTTAAGACACCGGGTCTGGGACTTGAACCAAGTACTTGGCCATGTGGGATCCAACTGCCTTAACCACCATGCTACCTGGCTGGCCACTGGTATGTTCATTTTAATAATGTGCTTTATTTAACCCAATAGGTCCAAAATGGCACTATTTCGGTATGTAGTCAATATTTTAAAATTACGCTTTTGGGTGGCTTTTTTTTTTTCTTTTTTTGTAATTTTGCTTTAGGGTACATGCGCTCTCAGGGGGGAGAGAGACAGAGAGAGAGAAGAAGCTGAGAAAGCACCCTCCTGACCTCACCAGAGATGGCTGTACCACAATCCCTTCTCCATTTTCTTCTGAGGATTTTGGGCGTATGTACACACATGCCTGGCATGTGTGTGTGTGTGTATGTGTGTGTTTTAATTATTTTATTGAACTTTATTTTATTTATTTTAATTTGACCAGAGAGGGACAGAGTGAGAGAGAGGGAAAGTGAGAAAGCAAGCTACCAGGTCCAGGACTCGAACCGCCTTCAGCCAACATGGGAGTCCAGCGCTCTTCACCACCATACCACCTGCTGGCCCCGTGTGTGTGTGTGTTAAAGAGTTATTTTATTTTACTTATTTGTTTTAATTTGACCAGAGAGGGACAGTGAGAGAGAGAGAGAAAGAAAGTGAGAAAGCAAGCCACCAGGTCGGGATTCAAACTGCGGTCAGCCATGTGGGAGTCTTGTGCCTTTAACCACCATGCCACCTGCCAGCCTCAATGCCTGGCAGTTTTATAAGCCATCAAATCTGGGGCTCGAACTACACAGTTGGCCATGTGGAACCCAGCCATCTTAACCACGATGCCACCTGACTAACCCAAAATTATAGGATTTTTTTTTTCCCCCATAGGGTACGTGCACTCACAGGAGAGAGACAGAAAGTGAGAAATCACCCCTTGCCGGGGAGGGCCACCCTGCAGCCCCTCCTCTTCCATTCTTCTCCTGGTATTTGGGTATGCACACGCACGTGTCCAGTGTGATTTTCAAGCTGCCAGTTCCGGGACTCAAAATGCAGGCAGCCATATGGGAGTCCAGAGCCTTAACCAACCATACCACCTGCTGGCCCCAATAACAGGATCTTCTACACTCTTTATTTTTTTTAAGAATTATTTTATTGGGACCGGCAGGTGGCATGGCGCTTGGGGATGCTGGACTCCCACATGGCCAACCCTGGTTCGAGGACCAGACCTGGCAGCTTGCTTTCTCACTTTCTCTCTGTCTCTCTCTCTCTCTCTGTCCCTTTCTGGTCAAATTTAAATAAATAAGTAAATAAAGTTAAATAAGATAATTCTTTTTTAAAAAAAAAGATTTTATTTATTTTTTTTTGGAGAGATTTTTGCTACAGGGCATGTGCACTTGCCAGAAAGAGACAGACAGAAAGCGAGAAATCACCCCCCCAAGGGGAATGACCACACCGCAATCCCTTCTCCTCCATTGGGCCCGCACACACATATGCCTGGCGTGATTTTGAAGCCACCAGCTCCAACACTCGAACCACAGTCGACCATGTGGGAGTCCAGCAACATAACCGCTACGCCATCTGCCGGTTCTTCTCTCGAGCCCTCTCCCCCGTCCCTTCTCCTCTCCCTCTTTCTCTTCCTCTGGTGATAAAAAGAACGAGAGGGACCTGTGGGTGGCATGGAGGTTGGGGCTCTGAACTCTCACACAGCTGACCACAGTTCAAGTCCTGGGCCTGGCAGCTTGCTTTCTCACTTTCCCTCTCTCTCTCTGTCTCTTCTGGTGAGCCTATATGCCCTGTAGCAAATGGAAAATAATAATAATAGGGACCAGCAGATGGGGTAATGGTTACATTGCTGGACTCTCACATAGTCAAGTACAGTTGGAGTCCCAGACCCAGAAGATTAAAACTCGTGCCGGGCGTGTGTGCGTGCGTGCCCAAGAGCCAGAGAGGAGAATGGAGGAGAAGGGACTGCAGCGTGGCCATCCCCCTGAGGGGTGATTTCTCGCTTTCTGTCTCTCTCTGTCTTGCTCCAGCAAGCACACGCACCATATAGCAAAATCTCTCAAAAAAAAAAAAAAAAAAAAAAAAAAAAACCCCCAAA